CTCTTCTTCTTCTCTCTCTCTCTCTTCTCTCTCTTTCTCTCTCTCTCTCTTTCTCTCTCTCTCTGACTCTCTCTCTCTCTGACTCTCTCTCTCTCTGACTCTCTCTCTCTCTCTTTCTCTCTCTCTCTCTCTCTTCTCTCTCTCTCTCTCCTTTCTCTCTCTCTCTCTTCTCTCTTCTCTCTCTCTCTCCTCTCTGACTCTCTCTCTCTCTGACTCTCTCTCTCTCTTCTGACTCTCTCTCTCTCTCTCTGACTCTCTCTCTCTCTCTCTGACTCTCTCTCTCTCCTCTCTCGACCTCTCTCTCTCCACTCTCACTCTCACTCTCCATCGTCTCTCTCCCGTCTCCTCATCTCTCTCCGTCCTCCTCTTCGTTCTCTCTCTCTGACTCTCTCTCTCCTCTCATCTCACTCTGGACTCATCTCTCTTTCTCTCTCTCTCTCTCTTCTACTCTCTCCTCTCTCTCTTTCTCCTCTCTCTCATCCTCTACTTCTTCTCTCTCTCTCTCTCATTATCCTCGCTCCTCTCTCTTCTCTTTCTCTCTCTGACTCTTCTCTCTCTCTGACTCCTCTCTCTCTGACTCTCTCTCTCTCTGACTCTCATCTCTCTCTGACGTCTCTCTCTCTTCTTCACTCTCTCTCTCTTTTCTCTCCTCTGACTCTCTCTCTCTCTTTCTCTCTCTGAACACTCTCTCTCTCTTCTCTCTCTGACTCACTCCTTTCTCTCTCTCTCTCTCTCTCTCTTCTCTCTCTTCCTCTCGTCACTTCTTTCTCTCTCCTCGCTCTCTCTCTCGTCATCTCTCTCTCTCTCTCAGGTCTCTCGCTCTCTCTCTCCTCTCTCTCACTCATTCTCTCTCACTCTCTCCTCTTCTCTCCCTCTTCCCCTCTCTCTGCTCTTCTCTCTCACTCTCAGACTCTCTCTCTCTCTCTACTCTTACGCACTCTCTCTCTCTGACTCTCTCTCTCTCTCTCCTCTCTGACTCTTCTCTCTCTCTCTCTCTCTCTCTCTCTCTCTCTCTCTCGTCTCTCTCCTCTCTGACACTCTCTCTCTCTGACATCTCTCTTTCTCTCTCTCTCTCTCTCTCTTTCTCTCTCATCTCTCCTCTTTCCTCTCTCTCTCTGTCCCTTTCTCTCTCTCTCTTTTCTCTCCCTCTCTTTCTCTCTCTTTGTCTCCCTCTCTTTCTCCTCTCTCTCTCTTCTCCTCTGACATCTCTCTCTCTCACTTTCTCTCTCTCCGACTCTCCTCTCTCTCTTCTCTCTCTGACTCTCTCTCTCTCTATCTCTCTCGTGACTCTCATTCTCCTCACTCTTTCTCTCTCTGACTCTCTCTCTGCTATTTCTCTCTTCTCTCTCTCTTTTCTCTCCTCTGACTCTCTCTCTCTCTGACTCTCTCTCTCTCTTTCTCTCTCCGACTCTCCTCTCTCTCTTTCTCTCTCTGACTCTCTCTCTCTCTCTTTTGCGCTCCGCTGACTCCTCCTCTCTCTTCTCTTTCTGACTTCTCCTCTTTCCTCTCTGACTCTCTCTCTTCCTCTCTGGCTCGCTCTCTTTTCCCTCTCTCTGACTCTCTCTCTTCTCTCTCTGGCTCCATCTCTCTCTCTCTGACCTCTCTCTCTCTCCTCTCTCTGACTCTCTCTCTCTCTTTCTCTCTCTGACTCTCTCCTTTCCTCTCTTGACTCTCTCTCTTTCTCTCTCTGGCTCTCTCTCTCTCTCTCTGACTCTCTCCTCTCTCTTCTCTCTTCCTGACCTCTCTCTCTCTCTTTCTCTCTCTGACTCTCTCTCATCATTCTTTCTCTCTCTGACTCTCTTCTCTCTCTCTTTCTCTCTCTGACGCTCTCTTCTCTCTCTGACTCTCTCTCTCTCGATCGTCTTCTCTCTCTGACTCCTCTCTCTCTCTTTCTCTCTCTGACTCTTCTCTCTCTCTCCTGACTCTCTCTCTCTCTCTGACTCTCTCTCTTTCTCTCTCTCTCTCTCTCTCCCTTGACTCTCCACCTCTCTCTCTCTCTTTCTCCTCACTGACTCTCTCTCTGACTCTCTCGCTTTCTCTCTCTCTCTCTCTCTCTGACATCTCTCTCTCTCTCTCTTTCTCTCTCTGGACTCTCTCTCTGACTCTATCTTCTCTGGACTCTCTCTCTCTCTTCCTCCTCTGACTCTCTCTCTCTCTCTTTCTCTCTGCAAAAAAAAAGCTGAACGTCTCTCTCTCTCTTTCTCTCTCTCGCTGTCTCTCTGTTGACTCTCTCTCTCTCTTTCTCTCTGTGACTCTCTCTCTCCTCTTTCTCTCTGTGACTCTCTCTCTCTCTTTCTCTCTGTGACTCTCGCTCTCTTCCTTTCTCTCTGTGACTCTCCTCTCTCTTCTCTTTCTCTCTGTGGCTCTCTCTCTTTCTCTCTTTCTTCTCTGTGCCTCTCTCTCTCCTCTTTCTCTCTGTGACTCTCTCTCTCTCTTTCTCTCTGGTGACTCCTCTCTCATCCTCTTTCGCTCGGGGGGTGACCTCTCTCTCTCTTTCTCTCTGTACTCTCACTCTCTTTTTCGCTCTGTTGACTCTCTCTTCTTTCTCGCTGTGACTCCTCTCACTCTTTCGTATGTACCTCTCTCTCATCTTTCTCTCTGTGACTCTCTCTCTCTTTCGCTATGTGACTCTCTCTCTCTTTCTCTCTGTGACTCTCTCATTCTTCTCTTGACACTCTCTCTCTTTCTCTCTATGGACTCTACTCCGCTGTCTCGCTCTCTCTCTCTGTGACTCTCTTTTCTCGCTACGACTCTCTTCTCTCTCTGTCCTCTCTCGTCTCTCTCTGTGACTCTCTCTCTCTCTCCTCTGTGGAAGGACTCTCTCCTCTTCTTCTCCCCTCCTCTCTTGTGACCTCGACTCTCTCTCTGTGACTCTCTCTCTCTTCTCTCTGTGACTCTCTCTCTCTCTTTCTCTCTGTGGACTCTCTCTCTCTCTTTCTCTCTGTGACTCTCTCTCTCTCTTTCTCTCTGTGACTCTCTTTTCTCTCTTTCTCTCTGTGACTCTCTCTTCTCTCTTTCTCTCTGTGACTCTCTCTCTCTCTTTCTCTCTGTGACTCTCTCTCTCTCTTTCTCTCTGTGACTCTCTCTCTCTCTTTCTCTCTGTGACTCTCTCTCTCTCTGTGACTCTCTCACTCTCTTTCTCTCTGTGACTCTCTCTCTCTCTTTCTCTCTGTGACTCTCTCTCTCTCTTTCTCTCTGTGACTCTCTCTCTCTTTCTCTCTGTGACTCTCTCTCTCTTTCTCTCTGTGACTCTCTCTCTTTCTCCCCCCATGTTGCCTCTACTCTCTCTTTACTCTCTCTGACTCTCGATGCTCTCTCTCTCTCGTCTGTGACTCTTTCTTTTCTCTACTCAACGACTCTCTTTCTACTCTCTTTGTTTTTTTCTCTCTTCTCTCTTGTCTCTATTTCTCTCTCTGTCTCTCTCTCTCTCTTCAGGATGTTTGCTCTCTCTCCTCTGCTCTCTCTGTTGACCTCTCTCTCTCTCTCTCCGTTCGTGTTTGACTCTCTTCTACTCTACTCCCCTTAATCCGATTTCTCAATGTATCTATTGTGAATCTCTTCCTCGTCTCTATCTCTGTGACTCTCTCGTTCTCTCTCTAATTGTTGACTATCTCTTTCTCTCTCTCTCTATCTCTGTGTTACTCTCTCTGCTGCTGCTCTCTCTCTCTCTGACTCTCTCTCTCTGTGAATCTCTCTCTCTGTGACTCTCGTCTCTCATCTTCTCTCTCTCTATGTGACTGCTCTCTCTCTCTATCTGTGACTCTCTCTCTCTGTGACTCTCTCGTCGCTGTGACTCTGCTCTATCTCTCTCTCTCTCTCTCTGTGACTCTCTCTCTCTCTCTCTCTGTGACTCTCTCTCTCTCTCTCTCTGTGACTCTCTCTCTCTCTCTCTCTGTGACTCTCTCTCTCTCTCTCTCTCTCTCTCTCTGACTCTCTTTCTCTCTGACTATAAATGGCACTTGTCAAATTGTAAAATAATGTAAAAATAATTTAAAATAAATAAAATTAAATTAAGAATAAAGTAGTAAATAAAATGCTATGCTTTATATTGAAAGCTTCAGCATGCACCCTTGCCACACTCAAATTCAGCAGCCCATGAACTCATTATCATAATTACAAATCCCTGTGATTCACAACAGGAAAACTTTGCTAATGTGGGTCATCCACTGGCAGTGCTTTCCTGGGTAGGGGGAAATCTCAAATGCATACAGATAAATAACTTTCATACTTTCCCCATCAGTGATATACATAACCAGTCTTTAGAAATTGCACTGCAGAAACTCCCTAATATCCACAATCGTGGCCCTAATAGCAGGGAAGGGCATGACAGGTACCAGGGAAATTGCAGTTTAAAATATGAATAACATGCACAGCATTGGTTGGTAAAGAGTCAACTACAACCCCCCTGGAGCTCTGCCACCCCTAATTCCTGGTAATTCAAGATCATCCTAGTTTTCCTTATCGATGGAACCATACTTAAAACTGCCGATTATCTTACAGTCTCACGCCCCCCCCCCCCCCCGGGAGAAGCAAGACAAACAAACAAACAGCACAAGACAGGCATTTACGAAACAAAAAAATCAAAAACGAAATTGAAAGCAATATCTGGTTCTTCAAGTGATGAATTAGTTGTGCTAGTGTTATATTATCGCTTATTGGTATGTTATCTCGTCCACTAAATAAAAAAATAAAAAAATGCACTTTAAACATCTCTTGATCTCAAGGGTAACGTGATGACGCAACATTTCAGTGGAAATTACATTCTCGTTTTGTGTCTTTGTGTTTTAGATGTTGTCTTCAAAACGATTATCTTTTTCAATCTCCTTCGAAAAATAACAAGTAAACTAACCGATTATTTTCTCCTAGAATATTCTATCGGTAAAAAATTCCATTACGTGAAGTATTTTCTCTCTGGAAATCCGGTTCGGAAATCACCTGGAAACCCTACCAATCACCAAAATATCCCAATCGACCATTCCTCTCTTCATATATCAACGTACCTGTAGGAATTCCAAGTTCCTTCGAGCCTCTCCCGAAGCCTTTGACGACGCACCCGACAGCGAAGTGCGGTAGACCTCTCCTCAAGGCAGCCATGGCGACACTGAGGGCTGTCGTCTGCAGGTTCGGGAATCTCATCCGACACAGTTGCTACATGTCGCAACTTCTCGAATACGTAAACCAAAATGCATATCTATAAGAAAGACGCGTGATTGATTTTTTTTAGGCGAATGTCAGCATGTATGAGTCTAAATATTACTGTTATGCATTTAGTAGTAATATCGCTTGTCGGATTAGGGGCGAAGAGTTGGGTTTCGCACTAGAAGAGCTTCACTGTCGGTCTTGCTTGTCCATTCATCTTTCTACACCCCCTTCGGTCAGTGGATGCCAATAGCCAAAAAGCATACTCTTCTGGACGTTCTTCAGAGATAATTTTTTTTTTTCCTAACGTGAAACCAGAGTGGGGAAATCAGCAGAATACAAACATAGCCACAGTAGATATGTTTTGTATTCAATTCACTGAATATGCTGTGGGCAAGAAGTTAACTCTTACATAATGTATATTCTCCTTCTGTCTCTGTCTGTCTGTCTGTTTTTCTTTTTTCCTCCCCCCCACTCTCTCTCTCTCTCTCTCTCTCTCTCTCTCTCTCTCTCTCTCTCTCCTCTCTCTCTCTCTCTCTCTCTCTCTCTCTCTCTCTCTCTCTCCCTCTCTTTCTCTCTCTCTCTCTCTCTCTCTCTCTCTCTCTCTCTCTCTCTCTCTCTCTCTCTCTCTCTCTCTCTCTCTCTCTCTCTCTCTCTCCCTCTCTCTCTCTCTCTCCTCTCTCTCCTCTCTCTCTCTCTCTCTCTCTCTCTCTCTCTCTCTCTCCTCTCTCTCTCTCTCTCTCTCTCTCTCTCTCTCTGTGTGTCTCTCTCTGTCTCTGTCTCTGTCTCTGTCTCTGTCTCTGTCTCTCTGTCTCTCTCTGTCTCTGTCTCTGTCTCTCTCTC